GGCTCGTGGGAACCGCTGGCATCTGGGTACTCATCATCGATGGGGTCGTTGTCGATGTCGGCCTGCCAGTGGTCAATGGCACTGGGGTTGGAGTCAGTCACGTTGTCACGGTGTACAGAGGTGAAGGGCGTGGTGCTGCCACCTGCGGTCTGGGGATGTCCAGGTCTAGCCAGTGGTGCAGCGGGGCTGAAGCCGCCACTGCACGGGCTGGCATGAGCTGGCGATGCAGTGGAATGGCTTGTCGCGTCAGCGGCAGTGACGCCTTCAGCGTCGTTGAGCTGTGCGCTGGGGTCGGCCTGAGCTGAGTTGTGGGGCGGACTGCTGTGCAACGAGGTGTGCCCGAAGTAGGGTTCACTGTCGCGGTCACGCTGGGCCGAGTCGCCTGGTGGTGTCGTGCCGTCTCGATCCTGGGTATCGATGCCGTCCTGGCTATCGTCCGACGCGTGGAACGAGTCCATGGATATGTTGCCGATATCGCTGGCCGCGATGTGCTGTAGCAGCCATGATACGGGATCATCTGCGGCCTGATCGGTGCCGTCCATCGGCGCCGCGGCGAGCTCCGCCTCGACGAGCGGCAGCATGTCTGGCGGTTGGTGCAGGATCACGTCGGCGAGGTACGCCATGGCGTCTTGGTCGGGTGGAGGGAGGCCTCTTGGCAGCAGAGCATGGGCCCGTGAGAGGTATGGCGGCAAAGGTGCCGTGAAAGCCTCAGGGCCGACGAGCGTGGCACGAGCGCCCTGGTATTCCAGAAGGAGGCCAAAGTAGCGGGTGGCGTACTCGCGGCTGCTCTGGATACGAGTGAGGTTGCGGTTGGTGCGCTGCCTGTCGGGGCCCGCTCTGTGCCAGATGTCCTCGCACATGTCGACCGCGGTGCGCTGACGCAGGGCGTCGGTTGTGTCCTCAGACTCCTCCAGAAAGAGGTGGTCGTACTGTGGCAGATGAAGCGTCGCCAAGATGTACGGGACGCAGTCCTCGAGCCATGCCCAGAACATGTCCTGGTTGTCCTCACCTGGTGCCCACGCCGCAGCACACGGTATGAGCCGGGCGCGGATCATCATCAGGTGCCAGAAAGCAGGGTCCTCCTCGGGTTCGCCCCTATCGCACAGGGGAGTGGTGAGACCCGTAGGGCAATAGCGGGGCACAACAGCGGGGCTGAAGCCGCCACTGTGTGCCTGGCCTATGCCGCACGGACCCGCGGCAACGGTGCCGTTCACGATCGGGTCCAAAATGGTGCAGTGATCGTACTTGTAGATGCTGTCATCGTAGAGGTAGAAAAGGGTCCCACGTTCAGCGTGTCGCAGGAGAACCTCACCTCCATGCTGGGGCGCACCGCCTGAAGACGGGTGTGCTCCAGCGAGCGAGGGGAGGGCCAGGCTGCAGGCAAGGCGCCACATGATGGCGAGGCCTGGCGGGCGGCGCGAGCGATGAGCCAAAAGCTGCATGTCAGCACGCATCCTCAGATACCCCTGCATGCTCATGTACATTGCAACAAACACACCCACAGCAAGATGACAGGTGTCCCTACACCAGATAGCTTGCTCGTGCTGCTGCCAAAACTGACATGATATGACAAGAAAGAGATACGACGCGAAGAGAGAAGAGATGCCTCTGAAGGCGCTTCCTCGGAGGGCTGAGGCAGGCTCTCTGAGGCACCTTCAATAGGGTTCCTGAGTGGCCCGACCCTTGTCTTTGCCTTTGTCAGCCCCTGGGGGCCCCGTCCCTGGGGTGACCTGGCCTGGCTGGTCAATCCACCCGCAGACAGCCACGGGATCGGCAACTGATGCAGCTTCCTCCTTTTTTGTTTCGAGGGTGGCCACCTGTGGCAGGTGGATGGTGCCCCCCGTGAGGTGCCCGAGGAGGGCCTGGATGTCGCCACGCAGTGCAGCAGCTTCGGTAGTTGCCGTCTGTTGCTGAGTGACGACGGTGGCAAGCCCTCGTTCCAAACCTGAAACGTGCTCCGTGAGTGTGGCCTGGGATGAGAGAACGCCCGCAAGCTGAACCTGCATGTTATCCACCGTGTTGGCAAGCAGCTCGTGCTGTTGTTCCATGTGTTGGATGCGGGTCGTGGCGGCATCTGACAGTTTAGGGGCCGTTGCGAAGCGTTCGCCGAGGGTGTTCAGTTCGCGAGATGCCACGCTGAATTCATCCCCTGATGAGAGGATCTCGACGTCGTCAGCGTCGCCTGGTACCTCGGCGGCTGTGGCAGCGTCCCCTTCCGTGTGGCCCCCGCCTTCAGCCGCCACCGTGCCAAGTTGCGGGTCATGACCACCTGGTCCTTGGACGGCCGTCTGCTCGGCAGCTCCATCCGTGCCGTGCGGGGGTGCAGAGGAGCTGCGGCCTGGGGCGCCGTGTGATCTTGCGTGCGGCGTGGCGTCGCGTTTCCCACTGGAGGATCGGTGGCGCTTGGCTATAGGCTCCTCCTTGGGGATCGGGAGCGGTGCGACGCCCTTGCCTTTGGGCGTGGCAGTCATGAGGTCGTGGAGGTAAGGGCTCTGGGCCGCTTTGGTTAGGAGTGTGCCCGTGGCGGGGCTGAAGCCGCCACCACGGGCTGGCGGCGTCACAGGCTCTGTGATAGTGGTAGGGGTGACAATGGTAACGTTGTCCCTCTTCGGCACCACCTCAGCTAACGGGGCCTCGGTGATGCTCCACGGGATGGGGCACCCTGCGACCTGTACCGTATATGTGGGTGGGGGACGATGGGCGCGCACTAAGGCAAACTGAGCCGAAGTGGCTGGGTCCCAGGCGGTGTGGTAGACCTCACAGTCCCATTTGACGGACGGGCCCGTGAGAGTCTTAGCAAGCTGGGTCAGCGTGGCGTGGCGTGCCGCAATGCCAGTGATGCGGTATCGCGTCTTGGCGAGGGTGGCTTCACAGCCACGGATGCTGACGGCAGCAGCCTTGGCGGCGTCTGACCCTCGTGCAACACGGATCCCCAATAAGCCTGACTTGCCGTGCCTGACGACTCCTAGGGCCTTGAAGTCCACCGACTTCTGGAACGCATCTGCCATCGTGATGGGCTGGTCCTCAGGGAACCACACGGTCTGGTACTTGTCTGCAGTGGGCTCGTCTGCACCTACGTTGCTGAGGTCGTAGGTGGCGCCGAGTTGCCCTGAACCCGCCAAGACCTTGTCAACCGCTTGAAGACTGACGCCGAAGGTGGCAGCCAGGGACCTCTTTCCGACGCCCGATCCGTACCTGCCTAGGCTTTTGCAGGGTTCGAGGATGGTGACGGCTTTAAAGTTGCCGTGGAAGAGGGCCTTGAAGGTGTCCTGGAGCTGACTATCGAGCTCCTGGCGGCGAGCGTCTTTCTTGGACTCCCTGTGCTTTTGGTTTTGGCGCGCCTTGTCCTGTGGAGCGGAGTCCCCTCGGAAAGGACCCTTGGCGCGTGGGCCACCGTTCACGGGGGCACCTCCCGAGAACTGATCCTCGAAGGCCTGGTGCATGGAGGGGACTGCGGCGATGGCTTCGGTTTCATGTATGGTCACCCGAATCCAGCATACGTGGTCGGCAGGATCGATGGTGGCGACGGCTACTTTTTCCGTGCAGGCGACTTCCTTGGTGCCCAGCTGGTACACGGTCACGGGGACGTGCGTGTGGACCACTTTGGGCGCCTTGGGGTGACGCTTCAGCACGGGGACGGCGAGCTCGGTACCGACGTAGTTATCGTTTTTTGGGCCCATGACAGCAATCGCAAGCTGACCCGTGGTACGCTTACCCTGCTCGAGGTGGTGTTGCAGCAGCCGTTCACCGCTCTCGTAGTCGTGGAGGCTGATACTGGGCTTGTACGTCTTGCCGTCGTCAAGTGATGTGGGTTCGGCCAGGACTGGGACCTTCCAGAAGGCCGGGTCCAAGGCAATGAATTGGGCGTCCGCAGCCTGAAGACGTGCGGACGCAGCTGGTGGGTGTGATGTGTCACCACCAATGCGCTTAGGCTTGCTGCGCTGGTGGTGATCCAGCGTGTAGCTGATCTGGTTGGCGGCACACATGCGGATCAAGGCACTGCCGAGCTTCTTTGTGTTGGTCTTGTGCATGTCGTACGTGGCCTGCAGCTCGTCCGCGTTCAGCTCGGCGAGCCCGTTGTATGCGGCCGTGGGGCGGTCAGACCCCGCTTGCTTGAAAGCTGCAATGCAGTCCTGCTTGCGTTGGAGGAGAGACCCTTCAGCTGCAGGACGTGAGCTCGGCGGCTGCTTGGAAGAGCGACGGCGCTCTGGCTTGCCGGGGGCCATTGCGGCGGGCGCTCTGGTGGGGAGAGAGGTGACGCGAATCAGTAGGGTCCTGATGGGACCCCTCCGGTCTCGCGAGGCCTGGGAGTCGGACTCCGAGGCGGGGCGCTTCGCGTCGCGGCTGCGGTCTGAGTGCAGGGCACTCTCGAGCCGAGACTAGAAAGAGAGAGAGAGAGAGAGAGAGAGAGAGAGAGACCCAGAACGAGAGAGAGAGAGAGAGAGCTAGAGAGAGAGAGAGAGAGACAAAAAAACAATGATTATCGAACAGAGAAGGGAGCGAGACTGGGCCTTGCTGCGGCACGATGGGAACATCGAATTGCTCTGGGAACCGTCTGCCACGGAGGGGCACCATGGCCTCCGAGATCCTCGGGAGTCCCCCAGCCCGCCCCCGGAAACTCGAACGGCAGCCGCCCAAATTGGTTAGGGGACCCTGGAGGATGATGAGGAAGAGGAGTGGGGATGATGATGTGCGAGGAGGACGAACGGCACTAAGCAGGATCGATGAGGAGAAGGACAACCACGCGAATGGAAAGGATGAAGAGGAGGGAGGAGGATCGCGGGAGGAGAACTGTACGGACGCGGGAACCGAGAAAATGAGAGAATGGGAAAGGGGGAACGGAGCAGTCTGGTGGGCTCACAGTGTGCCCTGGCCCTCCGTCTCAAGCATCCGGGTTCAGGCAGAGTGGAGGTGACGGCAGGGGGGGGGGGAGGGATGGGAAGGGGGAAGATAAGGAGGCATCTTCTCTTGGAGGCAGCGGTGGCTTCACCGCGCGAGAGGCACTGTACACGAAGAACCGGGCCGAGATGGAGCAGGGCCTCGAGGGCGTCAAGCTTGCCCTGAAGATCCTGAACGACTACTATTCCACGGATGGCGGCATTGTGGGCCAGCTGGCAGGGAGGGCCTGCCACGAAGGCATCGTGTGTGGGCGAGAGAAAGAGAGAGAAAGAGAGAGAGAGAGAGAGAAAGAAACAAAACAACGAGAGGGGGTAAGAGGGGAACAGGAGGAGGAGGAAAAGGACGACGAGGAGGAGGACGAGGAGGAGGATGAGGAGGAGGACGATTAGAAGGAGGAGGTGGAGGAGGTGGAGGGGGAGTGGGAGGGGGAGAAGGATGAGCTGGAGGAGGATACGATACGATACGACATCATTGGCAGCAGCAGGTTACTGTCCACTCTACTGTAAGAGAGAGGCGAGCACAATCAAATTTTCTGCCGCTGTTGCTCTCGTGAGCGGTTTCAGCGCCAGCGCAGACCACTGTCCCGTGAGGATCGGGATCTGGCCTGCTGGCGCCGAGGTCTGTGGAGGGCCCACTCTCGGGCCAGATAGCACGCACCTACTGTCGGCCAGATAGCCGTCCCCCCCGCTCTCCCGCGACCGAACCGACGCCCCTTCCCTCTCCCTCAAGAAAGACAGCGCCAGGCCAGGGTCCAGGCGGCCCGCTCGCCATTCTCACAGAAAACAAATCAAGCCTCCGAGCAAGCCTAAAAATCTCAGCTTCATGAAAAAAGACGGCCTCAGACCTTCTTGCCCTAAACTTGGATTTTCAGGGAAACAACTAGTGGCCTCAGTCCTCATCTCACAGCTCTCCTCCGTCCTGGCGGCAGGCGGGCGTCCTACTGCAGCTCCTCCAGGAGCTCGGCTGCCTCCCTCTCGAGCGGGCCGCGCGGCGGCGGGCCTACCTTCTTCACGGCCCCCGTGCGGTACATCGCGGCCAACACTGCGCTCTCGAGGGCGGCCCACTCCGTGGCGAAGCATAGCGTGATCCTCACGAACTCTGTGCTCCCCTCCTTCTTCATGGTCGAACGACTGCGGCAATGGCGGATCATCTGTGCCACCGATTCGAGCGACTCCTCCATGATCGTCGTCTCCCAGAACTTCTTGATGACTCCGAGCCGCTGCTCGCCGATGTCCTCGATACTGTAGCAAGCTTTGATCATTGCTTTGAACACGTGCAGGAACGGCGGGCCAAGGATCGTGCTCTGGTCGGTGCCCTTGGTGGCTTTGACCTGCTTGTGATAGTCTACTCCTGCTTCCACCATGGCTTTGGTGATGACCGACCCGCTTGGCACCAGGGAAGTATGATACACTGCGGCGATGAGATCTCGCAACTCGGCCGCTTGCGTCATAGCCAGGGCCGCCAGCACTTTCACTAACCGCCCTAGCTGCTGTTGACGTCCTCCTCCCTCTCCCGCAGCTTCCTCGATCAGCCGGCGGCGCCGTGGATCTCCCACCGCGGGGCCTCCAGGGGCGCGCTTGATCGCCCAGGTCGGCTCGTCCAGCTCCATGGGTGTGCGGCAAGACGTGGGTGGCGAGGTGATCGTGAAGTGCCGATAGGTCTTGAGCAACCAAGGGACAGCGTACATCTCAGAGATGAAGGCTCCACGACCACTCCCAAGGAACGCGTACGTGCATACATGCGAGGCCTAGACAAGCGAGACATAACATGCCGATTCGCCGTACTCCGAGCCCCAAAGACTTCTCGACAGTACGGACATTGATTCGTAACCACCACTTCAGTATAGTCATCTTTACGTCGATGATGTGTTTGTACGTGTGTGCACAGCTGCCGATAGGTAGAACAAGACGACGAACACTCCAGACCATCCTCCGATTTCATGAAGCATTTCCAATTATCCTTCTCACGATGGCGAGGACGAGGCGGCGATTCTTCTTTAGCAGGTTTCTGAACATCGAGGCCTCGAAGCAGCGAAGCATCGATACGCCTAGAATCTTCTTGAAGCTAAGGATCAAGAAACACCCAACCCACTCCTCTATCGTACCGTCCTCTGAGCTCCTCTAAGAATCCCTACGCATCCTCTAGGGACTCCATGGCCTCTAGATCTTCCAGAACTCTTTTTGCCCACGGGTTCGCCCCCTCGAGTAGTCGCCCCTGCTGATCAATCGTGGCCTCTGGCTCCCAAGGCAACTCCCCCAAAACGCGCAGACAGCCACTGCGCATGCCGAGCTGGGTCCCGAGACGTAGCTTGCAGCCTACGTAGTCTACGCACTCGGAGCTCCACTTCCAAAGACGGCAGGCGCCAGAACTTACGGACTTCCGCATTCGAGAGAGATGTGTGCTTACCCTCCTCCTCCTTGTGCGCCCTCCCCCTCATAGCTTTGCGTGCAAAACCATCCACAGCGCCTGCAACGAGCTGAGCTGCACTTTCGATGGGAAGAACACTTCCAGGCAGTGCGTAGCCGTGGAGACGACGTGCGGGAGCAAAAGCATCCGCTTAAGTCGATAAGGTACTTTCGGGAGAAACCACAACTGCCCCTGGGCGTAGAAAGCTCTGTTCGTAGCAGACCTCCTCGCTGTTAGCTCAGCCCCACATGCCCGAGCCAATCGCGAGTCCCCAACAAACTGCGCCCCCAGGTAACGAGCTTGCTGAACAACTTTCCCAGGAAAATAAGCTTCTCCTCCTGGATCGACGCGTAACCCTTGTGTGAGTCTTCCCCCCCACTAGGTGCATCAAGGTGGCTTGCTCAGATTCGTGCTGAGCGCAGCCGTCCTCCGAGAGCGCAACGGTAAGCAACTCCGAAGCACACACACTCTTAACATTATCGTCTGCATACTGACAGCCCGCCAGGTCCTCAGGCCCAGAGACAGTCGGGCTGGTCGCCGTGAGCTGTCCCGTGTCTGCCCCTCCCTCGGCCAGAGCAGATCTCCATCGCGCAACTGAGGGCTGATAGGCTCTCGTCCATGCTGCCACCATAAGAGGATCTCCCATCAGCCCCCCGCACCCTGGTCCCAGGAGAAGTCCCCCATCGGAGCAGTTGACAGCTATCGTGGCACAGTCCACGCGCTGGATGGCCTGCGCCTGGACCGTGGCATCGTGCATGTCGGCACACGCCTCTCGCAAACGAGCCTGCGCAATACTTTCGAAAGCGTTGGTCGCATCAAACAACTGCTGTGCAACAGATAAGCCCTGCTGCGCCGCCCTCCAGGTCAGGATACTGGCAACAAGCATAGGAGCTTCTTCAAAGCGTCCCTTCTCATACCCATGAACATCATCCCCTGATCGTCCTTGTTTCATCGTACTACCATACCAAGCTTTCCCAAACGTCGGTAACAAATGAATCCACCTCTTCCCCTTCGGTCCCTCGGCTTCGGATTTCTTCAATCCCGTCGTCTTACTACAATGCCAGAAGGAAGGCGTGCGTCCGCTCGACCTTATCCTCCAGCATCCCAAGAACACAGCTCGCGTGAACAAACAAGTTGGCTTCGAAATCGATGGTGCTCCCACCCCAGTTGTTTGCTGCTCTGGTTTGATTCCCGCCCCAGGAGAGAGAGGCATATCCCAGAATTCTATCGGTGCAGGCCAAGGTGGTGGGCAGCGCCTCTTCTGTCGGCCCCTCAAATAGCGAGAAGCACGACAAAGATCTTCAGCGGCTGCCTCTTTATCCTGCAAGTCTAGACTCGCTCTGAATTCAGGTGCCAGGACTTCGGGCTCGAAACAGGGGGAAACTTGGCCTGTCCAGCAGCAGACCAAACAGACAACTGCTCTTGTCGATCAGGAAGAGCAGTCCGAACTTCGAGAAAGTGATGAGGAGGAGGAGAAGGAGGAGGAGGAGGAGAAGGAGGACCAGTGTAGACCAAAGACGCATCAACGATGTTGCAATCAGCCCTCCTTCCAAGTTCCCTCTCCATTTAGGTCAATGCACGATTTTTCACTGCTGGAAGTACCTTGCTGCATCGCAACCGTGTGAGAATCCTCAATCGTGTGGTAGCATTTTGAAAAGGACCCACTTCCATCCGTGAAATTGCTTCAAGCTTTTAAGACGAAACCACGCGGCGCTAAGGCGAGATCCACATTTTGAAAACCACGTGCCCTCCATCCGTGAAACTGTTGCAAGGAGGTCTCAGGCGAAACGCCCAGCCCACCCTACCGATACGGTTCGGGGTGCGACAGGTAGGAATTATTCATCTGGCCTCCAGCCCATCCCGCCACCGTGTCTGGGTTGTGGGTATGAAGCTCATTGGATGTTCGTTCGGATCTCGTGGGGGGCCTCTCGGGGGCCTCTTTGAGGCAGTTTGGAGGCCTCTTGGGGGCCGTTTTGGGGCCTCTTTTGGGCCTCTTGGGGGCCTCTTGGGGCCTCTTGTGGGCCTCTTGGAGGCCTCTTGGGGCCTCCTGCCTCCTGGGGCCTCTTGGGGCCTCCTGGGGGCCTCTTGGGGCGGAAGGTTTCGGTTCGTGCTCCCTCTCTTGGGCTCCTTTTGGGGCCGGGTAGGTTTAAGTCGGGCCTGTCCCTCTACAGGAGGAGTTGTCAAAAATAGTCAAAAGATAGTGGGGGGACGATTTTTTGAGTACTGTTGAGCATTTGTTGATAATTTTTCCGACAATTCTTATTGAATCGCTTCGCTCATTCCGCCGGCCCATTTCGCATGACTGAGCCTCTTGGGGCCGCTGGGGGGCCTCTTCAGCGTCGCTTGGGGGCCTCCTGAGGGCGCTTCTGGGGCCTCTCAGGGGCCTCTTGAGGCCTCCTGGGGGCTTCTTAAGGCCGAGGGCTCGAAGTTTTGTTTTGTGTTCCCCCTTTGGGGCATCGCTTGGGGCCCTCTTGGGCCCCTCTTGGGCCGTCTTGGATGCCTCTGGGGCCGTCTTGGAGCCCTCTTGGGCCATCTTGGGGCCTTCTTGGGAGCTTCTTGGGCCCTCTTGGGGCGATCTTGGGGGCCTCTTGGGCCGTCTTGGGGCGTCGGGAAGCCGAAAAGATGGACACGCCAAAATCTGCCCAAAACCTAAGGGCCTCTTGGGGCCCTCTGGGGAGTGCTCTTGGAGGCCTCTTGGGGCGTCTGGGGGCCATCTTGGGCGTCTTGGAACGATCGTGTGGCATCTCGGAGCACTCTTGAACCATCTTGGAGGGCTCTTGGCGGCCTCGTGGCCCTTCTTGGGGCTCTCTGGAGGGCCACGGGGGCGGCGCCCAGGAGGAAAACCATCTCTGACCCGAGTCTGCCGGGGATCGCCCGGGGTACTTTTCGTCCGGGGACCCCCAGGGGCCGCCCCGCGCGCGCGAAGTAGAAGTATTATTTAGCAGTTACCAGAGATCTTAGCACGCCTCTGGCCCGTTGGGCCGGCGAATTTTTCGTCCGAAATCCGCCTGTAGGAGGACACGCCCGACCGAAGGGTAGCTCGACCAGCGTGCTGGCAAAGACCACTCCTCCGCTGCGGGCCCGGCGACGCAGCCCGCGCACGACCCCCCGCAGCGGCACCGCGCCGCAGCGCGCGCCGCCCGCCAGCAGGCGCTTGCCGCCATGCGGGCCAGTCCCGGCGGGGTGCCTCCGCTGCCGCCGCCCGCCCGCGCCCGCGGACGGCCCCGCGCGCGCCCTCGAGCACGTCCCGCTCAGGCGCGTGCGGGGGCGGCGTTGCCGTGCGCGGCGGAGCCGCTGCCGGGCCGCCGCCGCCGCCCCTGGGCCCCCGAGGGGAGGCGCCGCGGCCAGGCCCCAGCGGCGTCGGCGCCGCTGCCGCCGCCCAGCAGCCGTCCCGCGCGCCGCGAGCGGTGCGGGCCGCCGACGCCCGCGAGCAAGAAACCCGGGGGCGGCTGTGAGGATGGCGACTCGGATGACGCGGATGATGAAGCCTGTGGCGACGGCGACGTTGATGGCGACTGCGGGGATGATAGTCGGTATCGTTTCACCGATCCCCATCCCCATCTCCATCCCCTTCGAGACCCCCACCAAATTACTACCCCAGTTGGGGATACACCCCTCGAAACCCGAAGAGAACGACCTATATCTCCATCTAGGGGGGTAACTCGGCCAGCGGGACCCAGGCCACGCCGCTGGGGATGGGTATCGGTTAAACGACACTCAGATGGTGGTGGTGCCAACGATGATGCCAGTGACTGGTAGGGAACGGGCCACGACGGTGGTGGAGGTGGTGGCGGCGGTGATTCTGCCCCCGCCCGTGGCGCCGCCGCCCTCGCCGCCGCGCCAGGAGGACAAGGCGCACGTTGCCGCGGAGGGCACTGGCAGCTCAATCATCGGGCTCTTGGAGGCCGCGGATCGCGGGGTTGCCTGGTTCCGTCCCCGTCGCCCAGCCCAGGCCGCCCACACTGGGCCCGCCTTCTTCCCCCCCTCCTCCTGCCTGCCTGTTTCATGTGCCAACGCATGAGCTTTCCGGCTCCCTCCAGCCTTCCTCGTGCCTCTGTGCTCCCTTCGCCCGCCAGGGTCCTCCCGACTGACCAGCTTGTCCGACTCTGCTGGGGTTTGCCACAGATCTGGTCTGAACAAAGACACCCTCCGAACGGGGGTGCGCTCACAAACGAAGTGGGCGGGAGCCGAGGGGCCGAGGTGTACATGTTGAGCAGCACGCGGGCGTGGAGGAGCAGACTGTCTTGACACGGTTGTTTGGTGCTGCACCTTTCCACGCCTCCGAGTGTAAGTGGATCTTCCGATTTCAAGAAGCGAAGCCAAGGCTTATTTTCCCATCACTGTCGTGGCAAGCTTTGTGCCGATGACAGTATCCAATGCCAGAGACCAGCAGGAGTGGCTGCCGCAATGACAGGCGGGGGGAACATTTGGAGAGCCGAAGCGGGCAGCATGCGACACCCCAGGGGATCTAGCATGGATACCACAGGCACGCGCGGCATACAAAGTATGGAGTGCATGCAAGGAGGAGTGGTCTTGAAGGGGGATCGCGTTGGCAGCGGGGAACAACCTTCCATCCGATGATGAGTGCCCGTGCAGGGTAGGAGGAACTTGCCGCTCTATGAAGCGTAATGAGACAGGTGGTCGAGTCCGACTTCTCAAAGAACCTCGCAGAGATCATCTCCACGGAGGAGGCAGCTATTATTCGATAGTTGGCATGGTTTGCTCGTTTTCATTATCAAATCTTGTCTGGTTGCTTCTCATTCGTAGCATTTGTAGAACTTGTTTTGCCTTTTATCATCGTGCTCATCATTGCTCAGTTTCATGCATGTTTGTATCTCCCACAATCGCGTGTAATCGCTTGCGCATTTGCATTGCAATTGTGCTCTGGCGCTGACACATGCCTAACAACGACGGATATATCATCATTTCACCCACCGCAGCGTCGGTAGTAACATACCCTGGTGTGATGCCGATTAGAGCCCTGTGCAGAAAACGCTTTAGACACCGGTGTGACGCTCGGCGGTTTAGGCAACCGCGTGTTTCGCACGTTTCAGAATCACGGACGCGTCTCAACGGCAGATCCAGGTTCGAGCTTACGAACAAGTTCTTGACGCTCCGCGTGCCCTTACCAACCCATCCAGCAACGATGCCCAAGCGGGTTGCATTGATGAGGGAAGTGTAGGATCACGCAGTGGAACAAAGAGGGGGGGTATCCGCTAAACTAATGATTGGGATCAGCCTGAGCAGGCCAATTGGTTAACCATACATGCTTTCGCGGATCTTTCGATATCGGAGCCTCTTGGCAGCTTTCTTGAGCCATCCCAGGGCCTCGCTGAGGTCCTTTTGGGAGCCTTTGGGGCCCTCTTGTTGGCTCTCCTGGGGACCCTCTCGGGGGCCCCGGGGCCCCCGGTAGGTCAGGACGTGTGCATCCTGCTGCTGTGCATCTGTCGTGCAGGGCCCTCGGCCTCTCCCGGGGCCATCCTGGAGGCCACCGGTCGAACAAAGGGGGGCCCTTCATTTAGCGTTGCCCATCTTCGGGCTTGAACATGGGCCATCTTCGAGCGCTCTTTTGGGCGTCTCGGGGCAATCTTGGGCCTCTCTTGGGGCCCTCTTGGGTGATCTTGGAGCCATCTTGGGGCCTGAAAACGTCATCGGAAGCGCAACGGCGAGAGGCCACACATCACTTGGTTTCTTTCGGTTTTGGCGCCTCTTTGGGGATTTCCGTGGCCACTTGGAGCCGTCTCGGAGCGATCTCGGGGCCTTTTGGAGGCATATTGGTGGCCGTCTTGGGCCATCCTGGGACCTCTCGAGCAATCTTTAAGGCTATCTTGGGCACTCTGAGGCCATTTTTGGCCATGTTGGCCCACAAACCTCCCACCAGTGCCCCTGATATGCCACCATCTTTGAGGCAACCACTTGTGTCTAATGATGTTAGCTTTGAGCGAAGGGGGGGTCCTCAGTCAACGTCGCCTTTATGGAGCCCCTGAAAACGCCTCTTGTGGTCCTGTTTGGCACTCTTGGGGGCTTTTCGGAGCCCTCTAGGGCCATCTTGGAGCCATCTGGAGGCCCCAGGAGCTCATCGGAAGCGAGAAGGCGGAAAGGCAATACACATTGATTCCGTCAGGTTTTGAAATGACTTTGGCTTCTTAAGGGGCATCCTTGGGAGGCTCCGTGGCCACTTGGAGCCGTTTTGGAGCGGTCTTGGGGCTTCTTGGAGCATGGTGGACGCCATTTGAGCGATTTTGCGCTATCTTGAGCCATATTGAAGATCATCTTGCGTTCTCTGGGGCCGTCTTCGAGACATGTTAGGCTATCTTTGACGCTCCGACGACCTGTCGCCACCCCTCCCAGGCCCGGCGGTAGGGGATATGAGGATGGGTCAAGATACCTCTTCTTCACGAGGCACACGCCGTCTTGCCCTCACCCATCCGCCTCCCAAACACATACGTAGCAGCCCAGAGTCCCTGTCAAGAACCAGTGAAAAGTGGTCGCGGAAAGCCCGCGCATGCTCCAGATTCGGAAGCAGAGTGTACATTGTATTGCAAGTGGACAGTGGTTGTTGGCCTACGCGCATCAACCATTGTGGGGTCACCCCCGCCGTCCCTGTCAAAAACCAATGCAGAGTGGTCTTAGGGCGCCCGCCCATGCTCCAGATTTGGAGGCACAGTGCACTTGGCATTTTTCTTTGGACAGGGATGGTTGGCCTGCGCGCTGCAAGAAAGATGAGCTCCCCACCGCCGTCCCCTTCAAAAGCCAATGCAAAGTGGTCGCGGGGCGCCCGCGCATGCTCCAGATTTGGAAGCAAAGTGTATCTTGTATTGTATTTTTGTATGGGTGGTGGAAGGGGGTCGGCATGGTCCTGGTTGTCTGCCGGTCGCCTGTTGGAGGGTTGTTTAACAGTGGTCAAGCTTCCCCCCCCGAAGGACTGCCTTCTCGCTCATTCCCACTCGCCCTCGCACCACATAAGTAGCACCCGAGTCTCAGCATGGGCAGGGGCCGCCATCGACCATGATCGGGAACCACTGCAGACGCCAGCAAGGTGCTCGAGCGCAGCAGGCAATATGCAGACATCTCCTTCGTCCTTGTCGAAAAAAAACGGATGCAACGTTATCGCTTAGTGCCCGCGCATGGTCCAGATTTTGCCGCAACGTGAACTTCATATTTTGGCCGACAGGTATCGTCGGGGGGGGTGGCATT